AGATTAATCGAAATAAAAAATTATTGATTTTTTTTCTATATTCATATGTTCTCTTAATAATTTCTTATTTATATATCTAAATCTGTTCTATAATAAATTTTTTTTTGACAAATTTATCTACAAGTAATTAGGCACTATTTCTGATTAGTATGACGAAAAATCTGATCAAGTGATATAATCTATTCTTCATTGATTAATTAGAATTTACTTTTTCAACGAAACGGGAACGGTCGTTTTTTCATTTTCGACGAAATGGGAATGGACGAGAAATAAATTTCTGACGAAACAGGAAAATCAATTAAGCTTTCGACGAAACGGGATCTAACCGTGCGCATCAATGACTCAATATTTTGAGAGGGTGTGGGTGTGACTCTTCTCTTTACTAGCTCCACACCCACCCACCCACCCACACCCCCCCCCCACACCCACCCACACCCACACTCCACACCCACACACCCACCCACACCCACACTCCACACCCACCCACACTCACACTCCACACCCACCCACACTCACACTCCACACCCACCCACACCTCACACTAACACCCCACAGACACCGGGATTCCGGATCTTCGCCAAATAGTACTTTCGCCAATGGCGAAACTCCACTATACTTTCGCCAATAGGCACACTGGAATATCGCCAATTGGCGAATGTCCACTGTACTTTCGCCAATACACTTCATGGAGTTTCGCCAGTTGGCGAAAGTATAGGAGACTTTCGTCAATTTAAGTGCTAATTAGACGTGAATTAGAAAATGTGCATTGACTATATTAATAAGTTACGTTTGTGTATGTTGTAGTCATATATTTTTTATGGCATTTTAGATAATAATTATGCCGCCCCTTGTTAGCGTGAAATATAAGATCATTAGCTAATACAATCAAGTCTCTTTCTCATCTTGTTGGTGAACCTGTTTTGTCGTGGACGAAAGAGAAAGAAAAAAAATTAATGTTTCGAAATCAGACTTATCAGGTGCATCATCAGATGAACATTAGGTTATGCTTTATTTGCCTTTTTCTTCATATTAATCTCGCTTTTTTCTTATTAAAAACATGACTCCCTCATATATGAATATACTCAAAGCGTAAGCTATAGTATATATTCTAACAGTATTAGCTTTAGCCCTTACATGTATCCTGTATTAATATTATTTTGTGACGGCTGACAAAACTCCACTATACTTTCGTCAATTGGCGAACGTCCGCTGTACTTTCGCCAATACATACCGTGGAATTTCGTCAATTGGCGAAAGGCCACCGTACTTTCGCCAACACATCCCTGTATTTTCGCCATTGGCGAATGTCCTATTGGCGAAAGTCCGAATTGGCGATCTTCCGGTAACCCCTCACACCCACACCCACACACCCCACACCCACACCCCACACCCACACCTCACACACCCACACCCACACCCCACACACCCACAC